AGTACAGAAGAAAAAAATCTTACAATTCTTAATTCTAAGAAGCATTTTGGCTGTACTCCTTTCAAGACAGATTTGTTTATTATTTTGGCATATACATGAAGCAAGTGAAGATAACATGGTTTAGGTGAGATGCCTATTCATCGTCAAAGTAACATCCGTGCTTTTTAACCCTTTACAGAGACTTTGTGCCACAGACATCCCAATGCAGTGCATTATTTGACTTCTTCACTGCAGCTTCCATGAGCATTGGTTGTGGATCCAATAAGATGACATCAATCTCTTCTCCAGTTGATTTCTCCAGTTGCAAGGACTTTGGATTTCTTTACATTGACTTTGTTTTTTATTAAATAACAATTTTATTAGGGGCCCCTACTCGATCGCTAAGGACAAAGGGGTGCATTAGCAAAAGTGGTGAAGAAAGCAGATGGTGCCCAGCTATCAAATGATACAGCATCTGGGGTCTTAAAGGCTTGAAGACAAACAGGTGGCCATCTAGCTAAGAGACAACAAGACCCACAAGGAAGATGCACACCAGCCTACCCACACACGAATGCTGAAGACAAAGCGGGTACATAAGCAAATGTGGTGAAGAAAGCTGATGGTGCCAAGCTGTCAAATTACACAGAATATGGGGTCCCACATGCTGGAAGATAAACAAGGGGCCATCTAACTAAGAAACAACAATGCCCACATGGAAGAAGCACACCAGCCTGTAAGGTGACAAGGCATCAAGACCAAAAAAAAAAACCAACATTGATTTTTAATCCAAGTTGCAATCCTTGATCTTCATCAGCAAGAGCTTCAAGTCCTCCTCAATTTCAGCAAGCAGAGTTGTGTCATCTGCATCTCATAGGTTGCTAATAAACCTTTTTCCAAACCCGAAGCCACATTTGTCTATAATATAATCCAAGTTCTGTGATAATTTTCTCAGCATACATATTGAATAAGTATAGTGAAAAGATACAACCTTGACATGCACCTTGCCTGATTTTAAAGCAAGCAGTATTTCCTTTTTTTCCCTTTCATTTGCACATCTTCCTCTTGATCCATGTGCAAGTTCCACATAAGCACAATGAACTGTTCTGGAATTCCTGTTATTTTCAAAGCTACTTATAGTTTGCTATGGACCACAGAGTTGAATGCCTTTGCCGAGTCAATCAAACACAAGTAAACATCATTCTGGTATTCTCGGCTTCAGGTAAAGAGCCACCTGACCTCAACAATAATATCCTTTGTTCCATGTCCTCTTCTGAATCCAGCTTCCTCTCATTATAGTGCTGCACCTGCTGTTGAATGATCATCAGCAGTGTTACTTGCATGTAAAATCAAAGATATTGTTCTACAATTTGCCCATTCTGTTGTGGTTCTTTCTTTGGAATGTATACAAATCTGAATCTCTTCCAATTAGTTGCCCAAATAGATGTTGGGCAAATTTCCCGGTGTAGAGAAGTGAGTGCTTCCAGTGCTTCATCAGCCTGTCGACACATATCATTTGGTAATCTATTAATTTATGAAGCCTTGTTTTTGACTAATACTTTCAGGGCAGCTTGAACTTCAGCACCGTTGTTCTTGCTCCTATGCTACCTCCTGAAATGTTTGATTGTCAACGAGCTCTTTTTGGTAAAGTGACTGTGTGCATTCTTTCCATCTTGTTTGATGCCACGGCATTGTTCACTATTTTCCCCGTAGAAACTTTCAATATGACAAATGAGTCTCACATTTTTTCTTTCGTTCTTTCTGTTCAAGGTAAACGAAACATGTTTTGCCTTTTTGGTATTCTCTAAACCAATAAGGCAAACATAATTACTGAAGCTACATAGTAAGTCCCGGGAAAAAGGTGAAGTAAATCCTTACAGCTTATTATCTTTTCCAAAACAGTTATTCAAGATTTTCCTGTCTTTTGTCATATAAATTTAGAGTAATTACTATAACTACAAAAATATTGCTGCAATATATTAACAGGAATTATGCCAAATCTGTATAAACATAGTTGAGAAGAATTGACATCATACAATATTTATAATATGCTATCCAATGAACATAGTAAGTCCCTTTATTTACTTAGATTTTTAATTTTTTACTGCTTTCATCAGAAATTTATAATGTTCAACAGATAGATCCTATATGAGTCATCTTAAGTGTATACAGAAGAATTTTATTTCTTCAGCATATTTAGAAACTGATTATTTTTCATTTCACTTTGTGTATTGTTCATTGTTAGCATGTAGGAAAGCAATTAATTTATATATATGTATATATGGACATATATTCGAAAATCCTTCTTAAATAATTGATTCATTAAAGGACTTTTTGTAGCTTACATGACATTGTGTAGGAGATAATTTTTATTTTCTCCAAATAGACACAACTTTTCTTTTCTTTCTGATTTGTGCAAATTTTATTTTAATGTTTTGCCCTATTGCCATATCTGGAGTTTTAAAGATAATATTATATAGAGGTTAAGGTGTAGTACAGTGGATTATTCCTTTAGCCATAGTCTTTTTAAGCCCCCAAACATCAGCCTGATAGATTTGAAATGAGCCAACCCTGAAGCATCAATGGAGAATCTCACTACTATCAAAATAGAAGAGTCAGAAGTGCAGCACATCATTTGAACACTGAGATTACTGCACATGTAGCCTCCTTGGTCCAAAAGCCAGAACTTTGACACCATAACCAGAGCAAGAGGGGAGAAAAGTAGCATTAGAGGCAAAGGTATGAAGACTAGAGAATATATTGATCATTTATACAGATCATCATGCCCATCGTGTCCAGTCACTTAAGAATTTAATCTGCACAAGTCAACAATTCATGTATTGCAGTCTGAAGCCAACTTATACTTGGATAATTTCCTTTTCTCATCAGAGTTTAAATTCTACATCATTAGCTAAATTAATGACACCACCAATGCCCAAGGAGAATTATATACTAATGTTCTCTATCATAAAAAGATGATAATATAGCTAAAGTGAACAAGGGACATATATAAACCATAGATGTCTGATTTGATTTGGGGCTTGCACTTAATTCTAGCCTTAATCTAAGAATAATTAAATCTCTAATGACATGACTCCACTAGAGATCACTGAAGAGGTCACTGAAGACACAGGTTTCATAGCAAAGTATGATGATAAAAAATAAATGATACCCAGCTATCAGAAAGAGTAGCATCTGGGCTTGCTTAAAGCAAGCATCCATCTAAATGAGGTATCTGCTAAATCCAGAGAGAAACGCACCAGCCTGTGCAATATAAGGATTGTAAATAATAAAATCCAAATCCAAAAGGAGAGTAGTGTCAAAACTTAAATTGTGAACACCTGGTTGCAAGAAGGATGACAGTGGAAGCCCAACAGCCAATTGCAGGGCCCCACATGGATAAAGCTTCCAGTCAGTCCACTCTGAATATAGTCTCAACACGTGAATATCCTTGCTATGATCCAGAGAGCATTGCAAACTCAAGTATAGCACATGCAGTTAGGTTAAAATGTAATACCTTATTATTTGATCTCCCTTTTGACTCATTTTAAAGTTTTTAATAAGGTTGACTCATTTTTAATATTTTCTGCTTTCTTTTTGATTGAGATATTTCTATAGTTTATCCAGTATCACCACCCCCCTCTTTGTGCTTTGTGCAATATTCTGTATATGAAATCTAGGATAAGAAAATCAATAGAGATAGTACCTGGGTTAATAATTACCTTGGGGAATGTCAGGGGAAGATGTAGGGAAATTCAGAAACTTTGGGAACTAACAACAATGAGTATGAGCATAAAATATTCTGAAATTGATTGTGGTGATGAGTGTACATTTCTTCTTAGTATAATTGAATGATTAAAGTATATGCCAATAAAATTATTGTTTTGAAAAAAGAACAAAGAGTAGAGCAGTAGGCTTCCTGGTTCATGGAATAAATGAAATTGAATGCCTTTGAGCAAGGGACTTGTTGGAAGAGTGGATCATCCCTGGCATTGAATCTGAGGAGGTAGGGTGTAGTGGCATGCCCTTAGTACATTTATCGGTAGTCATAATGAAATCTTGCAGCCCTTTGCCTTCACATGAGAGAGAAAAAGACCACAAAGCTGAGAAGCTGAGGACCAGGTAGAGACATGCTTGCACATGCATGACTGGGAGGAACCATCCTGTTTGGAGAAATGCTGTATCCTGAGTATTTCTGAGCTTGTAATCTGGTAGCTTCCCTCATAAAACCTCACAGTTGTATGTGTTTTCTATGAATTCTGTGTGCCCACAGTAATAAATAGATTTTTTCTTTTGGGAGTCCATGGAACTTTCAATATTCATTGTCAGTACCATAATTCAAATGTAAATATTCATACCCCAAAACCCCAGTTGCATTTCTACTCCATCCTATAAGATCATGACGAGTCAGAATTGAAGCGATGGCTCTGAGTTTGGTTTTCCTTGGAAAGGTGGGATCTCTTTGGAAAGGAATTAGAGTTGAAGACAACAGTAAAAAAAATATGTTTATCAATATGAATAAACAGGTTATAAACATAAATATGTGCATGTATAACATTTGTCCTTCCATTGAGAAAGCCTAGAGAAATGCTGTCATTGACAATCATTACACTTATCACCAAGATACTGATTTTGAATATCAATCTACAATAAAAAAGAGTTGGGATTTACTAGGTAATAGGTTAATTTTAAGAGAAAAATAATTCTAAATTTGAAACATTAAAAATAATTCTTAGCATTTTGTAGTATCATAAAAGAGGAAAAATGCTATAAAGAAATCATATTGGTAGAATTATGCTTATAGAATATTGAAGTCAATTTTAAAAATGCTTAATGGACAAAGCTTGAACATGGTAGAGCACTAAAATAAGAAAAATACAATGTTACTGGATTTAGATTGCATTGTAATCCAACATATAAAATATACACAAGTTCAAATTCAAATAGGAAAGAATAGAATAAACTAATAAATGAAGTAGCGACAAGTTTTCCAGGTGTAAGAATTCAAATAAGAAGGGAGTACGGTGCTCGCTTTGGCAGCACATATACTAAAATTGGACCGACACAGAGATTGTTAGCATGGCTCCTGTGCAAGGATGACATGCAAATTCGTGAAGTGTTCCATATTTAAAAGAAAAAAAAAAAGAAGGGAGCATATTTCTTCTGAGCTGCTCACAATAACTTCCTTCAAAGTGTATAGTATGGAAAGGCGAATGGGGCCATTCCTGCCGTGTAAACATCTAACAATTACTCCTTTATCCAGGTCATCAAGGCAAATATCAGTAGTCATAGACATGTTGATGGTCTGTATCCTTTATATGATGTGATGAAAATGCCACTTAACCTATGTGATCCTCCACCCGAAAATAAATCCACGCAGTTGAATCATGAGAAAATAAAACATGAGACAAATTCCAGCAGAGAGGAATATTATACTGTAGCTGGATCCCCACTCACCTCACTGTCATTCCTTTAATTCTGCCTGATATGTGGCCAGTACCCTGCAAAATTATCAAGAAAGTTTGAGAAATTGTCCCAGCTAAGCAGAACGTAAGGACACATGACATGAGGAAGGTCCTGTAGCAGGTAAAAGGCATCAGATAAAAACTAAGGAATGCTAAATAAACTATGAATAAAAATATAACAATATTAGGTGAAGAATCATAACAAATTCACCATAAAATATATTATTAGAGGAGGAAATAAGTACTAGAGTAAAAGGAAGGCCTTCAGTAGTAAGTGCTCAAATTTTTTGCAAATATAAAAACTGTCCTAAAATTATATTAATAAATAAAATAAGTTCATAATAAAATTTTCCCTTGTTGATTGTATTTATTTGGATAATTATAGATAATTTCCCCCTGCCTCAGTGATAAGGTATGTGTTTGTGTGTATGTATTTATGCCCAAAAACCTGGAATTGTGCTGGGAAGAGCGGAGCTTTCATAGTAAACAATCCTCCTACTAGGCGAGAATCAATCAACTTGCTCTGACTTACTGCACCCAGTGGTGTCCACTGCAAAAGTTCTCTCTGGTAACAGTGAATTTTTTCATACAAGCAATTGTGCTCAAAATTTTATTTTTGTGATGGCCAATTTAAGAGAACAGCGTGAAACTGTTACATTTTGTTTTCTCCTTCAAAAAAAAATTCCACAGAAACAGTTGTGATGTTGAACACAGCGTACAAGGCCAGCACTAAGGGAAAAACTCATTTTGTGAATGGTATTCTCATTTTAAATAAGGTGAAATGTCAATTGATGGCAAATCTCATTCTGGACATCCGTCAACTTCCTGAATGGAAGGAAATGTCAACTCGTAGTACATTTGGAGTTCGTTCCACCAGGTTGAGCTGTTCATCAAGTCTTCCATGTAGAGTTTCTGAAAATATAGTGTAACTGTGCAACAAAAAAGGCCTGATTTATGGCAGACGGGCTACTGGTTTTGCCACCACGACAATGCACCTGCTCACATGGCTATTTCAGTGTGTCTGTTTTTGGCAAAAAGCAGCATGCCTCTCTTGCTCCACACATTTTACTCACCTGACCTGGCTCCGTGCAACTTCTTTTTGTTTCCGTGAATGAAAAGGGATATGAAAGGACAGTTATTTGGTGACATAGAAGGGATGAAGGAAAAAAATGAGGGAGGTGCTGTCAGCCATCCAAAGAGATGAGTTTGAAACATGTTTCCAAGAATGGAATAACAGATTTGACAAATGTATTAAGAGTAATGGAGAGTATTTTGAAGGTGATGGGGTTGTTTTTAAAAATATTCAAATATATAGCTTTGAAAAAAATAAGTTTTTTTCCCGATACTGATATATATACACACACACATATACACACACATATACACACTGCTGTTGTTATTGTTAGGTGTCATCAAGTGGGTGTCAATTAATAGTGATGGCATGAGCAACATAATTAAAAATTACCTGGTCTTGCTTTAACCTTATAATGATTATGTTTGAGCCCTTGTTGCAGCCACTGTGTCAATCCATCATATTGATTGTCTTCTTTTTCATTGTGAAGCATGATGTCATTTTCCAGGAGTGTTCTCTTTTGATAATTTGTACAAAGTGCACACACACACACACACACAATTACTCTAGCACAATTTATGGCCAGGTCTTTCAAACTAACCCAGAAAATGAAAGGTAATTGGTGTTCTTTTGAAAATGTTCTCTGAAAAAGAACTAAGGAAATCATTGCCTAACAGTTAAAAGTAATGAACTATCTAAATTGCTGTCAAGGGAGTTTGTGGAATCTTCTCTGCAGGTGTTTATAAATACAATCATCTTATATGTAATCTAATCAGGGGACAGAGTGATGGATGAGATGACTTCTTAGATTTGCTTCTTCTGATAAATTTAATATAACAAAAACATCTTTCCATCCACAAGAAGGTAATTGAATGTTGGAAAATGATGAATACTAGGAAGGGATGACATAGATGGAGTGGAGGTATATGTACACTTGGTACTATTAACATAATGAAAAGTGTGCAATTTTAGTACTGCTCAGGCATTTGTGTTTCTAGGGGAATGGACATTTGCAGGTCCAAATATGGCTGCGGTTTTACTTCCTGCTAGTTCAATTTGTATGTCAATTTTTGAAACATTTGTTAGAGTGGTCTTACAGTCCAGGTTCTTGGCACGAGGCTACCTCTGTTCACCAGAGCTGTAAAAGCTCTTACCATTCTAGAAAGGGGCATAGAGACTTACATTTGGCCCTGCTACCACCCAAGGTTCTGCCTCTGCAAGTCATCCCTTAACTAACACGCCTATATTACCCTCGTGCCATTCCTAACCTCCATTTTTGGTCTCTTAACACCTTCAGGCAAATTTCAAGTAACTGCTTTCTGCCCAGACAATTGGTAAATAACTAAGAGGCTGAAGATATTCCTGATAAGGGCTGGTATCCTCCTTTGGAACATCAGGACTGATGGGTTCAGTTTAGTTCACGTGGAGTGGTCAAATCCATCTGCCAGTTCACAGACCTCCGTTTGGAGAGATCTCCCCATGTAGATTTTATGGTGGTATCTCAAAAATGCCAAGAGTCATGCCATTATTGTGGGAAAGTAGACACCTCCATAGAGGTTCAAGAGGAGCTGAGTGACAACCAGAGCAGTGGCCATCACTCTAGGCAGTTTGGATAGCCAGTTACCCTGTTTTCCTGAAAGTGAGATATCCCCCGAAAATGAGACCTACATACAGTTTTGCCTCTTGCCAAAATATCAGGCATCCCCCTGAAAATAAGACCTCCCTGAAAATAAGGCCCCCCAAAGCTACCATAACTCTGGACAGTAGCTGTGGGTGCCCCCGCACAGCTCACTGTTGGCTGCAGCGCAGCCAGAGAAGGCAGGAAGTTTGAGGTCTCTTTTAATAAAACAATAAACAATAAATGTGTACCATATTCTTCTTCATGGAAAGATAAGACATCCCCTGAAAATAAGACCTACCGCATCTTTGGCAGCAAAAAGTAATATAAGACACTGTCTTATTTTCGGGGAAACAGGGTAGTTATCACAGCGTACATAAGAGCACTAGACAAGGAACTACGAAGTTAGAAAGGGATGGGTGAGTGTTCACAGTTGCATATATGGCTATACTCGGCATTTTGAATCGCCAACTCCACAAAATGATAATCAGCTAAGTTGCAAAAATGGAGGTGGAAGAAACAGTGCTTTGGAGAGAGCGAATGCCAAGTTGGAGTGTGGTGCCTGAGTTGGGATTGCAGCCTCATCCGCAGCTGCCACTCCCCTCTGCTTAAGCAAGTGCTCAGGGCAGGGCGCAGCTTAGAGTCCAGACCTGCTCCCTTGTTCATTCTGTGAGGGCAGTAGCACAAGTAGTGGGGAAAGGACAGGGAATGCCAGGAAGATGCAACTGAACCAGGAAAGTGCCCATTCCCTTCCCTTCCCTTTCCTCCCTAGCTCACCAAACAGTACCATGTTCTGTAGTACCATGCACCCACAGCAACAGTCAGTCAAAATAAATAAATACAAATAAGAGCTTAGCTCCCCCCTAAAAAGAGGCCAGAGCATAAATTCTATGCTGGAGAAATCAAAACAAAGTTCTTATCGGTGTCCCTACACTCTGACAACACTTATAAACAGTTTGCAACTGGAAGCACCAGCCTAGAACCAGCCTGCTCAGCTGAAAGAGCTAAAGAAAAAAGGGTATGTAAACAATGGGGGGCGGGGGGGAACAGAGGGTGGTACAGGGAGGGGCACTGAATTAAATTCTAGGTTCACCAACTGAAAGCCCCTTGTGAATCTCGTTAGTAAAGAGTTCAGTGGTTGCCAGAGGGAACAATAAAAGGATAATAACTTTTCCAAGAATCTGAAGTCGAGCATCAATAACTGCCCTTTGGGCCCTCTAACACACTACCATGAGGAAATGTTTCTTGCTGCCAGGGAGACCCTGCCAGTTGCTAGAAATGACAGGTGTTGGCTGAGGTTACCCTCGAGTCCAAATGCTGCCAATGGACTTGAAGGTCCCATGCAAAAGTCACACTGTATTGCTCAAGAACAAGCTAACTTTGGTCAATACAGGTAAGAATACCCTGATCTTTGGAAACCTTGAGCTCCTCCTCCTTCTCCTCTTGGCAATTGATATTCTAAGGGTGGATTCTTTGTGAGAAAATTGCAATTGCAGGTAAAGAGAGCAAAACTCATCCTAACTGTAACATACCTGTTCAAAACGCTGGCTATAGACCAGGGTAGACATCATGCTGTGCTATGCCTGGCTACTGTGTTCTTTAGCATCCCTCTAGCCCACGTGTTCTAGAAACAACCTGGGAAGTGCTACATGCCAAGATGACATCCCCACCCACCCCCACCTCCCCCATCCCAGCTAAGGAGGGGAGGGCCCATTGCCAGAAGATGCCAAGTAGATGGATAGTTCTAGTTAAAATATATTATACTGTCTCTGGGAAAATCAATGAGCCAAAATAAAGGCAGCATGGATAGTCATCATGCATGTGTCCTGCTCCTTACGCCTTGGTACAGACAGGCCATAGTTTGTGGCTTAAATATATAGATGAGTGATTGGCATAAAAAGCACAGGGAAAATAATATCTGGCATTGCATCCAAACCTCAACCCCCCAAATCTGTTTTCTTTTTTAAGATAACAGC